TTAAAAGTTTTGGTGAAAAAAAATATTAAATCACCCAAGGAAAACCGTAGCCAATTTTTCGGTTCACGGTTAAATTGGTCACACTGATGGTTTATTAGCTGGTTCTTTATTTTCCCGTCAATGTATGAGTACTGGACTGGATTAAAGGATGGTTCGTGATTTTTTTGGTTGAATCGGTCGACCTAGTCCGATCCTTATGACATTGGAGAATAGAGATCAAGAACTTTATTAAGCACAAAAAAAGATAAATTTTAATACTTGAGCTTTTATTTGATAAGTTCTGTTAAAAATGATCTTATTCTCAAATGTGATTAAGTTGAGGTGGTTAACTTAGTGTTCACATTTTTTGTCATTTTTTTTAGGATGAGTAGTAAATTCAAATTAATCTTTTCTCGATAGTTTCAAATTTAAAAGTTCATTAGGACTTTCAAATTGATGAGTCAATTTTTTTTTTTTATTGACACTGCTCATTGTGGTGTTGCTAAGTCTTTAGGACATGCTCGTATCACAATATTCTAGTTCTTATAAGACTTCAAGTCAAATATTAAATAAGTTAGAACAAATGCAGGATAGATGAGGAGACTGAAAAAAGGACCAAAAAGAACATATTATATAGTAAGTACATGAAAAGTCGTTTCGGTAGAGGATTTTGAATCTCTCATCTCGAAAGTGTTTAAGCTAAAGGATATTGCACAAGGGCATATCCATTTAATGTTGTTTTTGTGCGCGTCAAACACTATATATTGGAGTTTATCTTGTGTGGATACTGGATTTAAGAGTTGAACCCACTTATATGAAATCAAGTTGTGCCTTTAGTCTATTGTCAAGTCTCTAACTTAGTAGGAAATAAATATATACGAATAATTGAGATGGAGATGAGGTTTATATTATTGGTATATGTAAGTGTTACAAAGTAAAGAAATTGACCTCGTATCTGATATCACAATAGTATTAAATACTCCTCTAAACTTACTCTCAATTGTTGTTCTTTCAAGGGTGGTCTTTAACATGAACCTATAAGTGATAGTTTTGTTCATACCAATAATGGTGATTTTTGTTATGGTTCTGAATTTTGTACAATGGTTTGAGATTTTGAGTTGTAAAAACCATTCAAAACTATAATAGTTAAACTTCCCTATAATTAGTCCATTCAAATTTCTTTACCGGCTATGATTAAGAGAGATAGAGATTAAATATTGTTTTTTATTCCATTTATACTGGAGTGGAATAAAAGATTAGATTATTAAAGTGAAGGTTTTGAGAACTGTTTGAGAGTGTGGATCTCTATCTCGAGAGTTCATTAATCACTGCAATGAAAACTGAATTCTCACTGAATTGACAATTTTGCTCATCCAAACTATATTATTATTGGGTAAAAGGGATATGGTATTGCTGAATGTGATGATGTTTGAAATAATGCAGTGCAACTTACTTATTTTGTCAATTGCAATCTGTCGCTCGATGGAATTCTCTCATTGTCAATACCTTTAGAATTGCATAAGTTTTGGACATATAGGTAATCAAGTAAGAGTAATCTTATACTTATAATAGACTGTGTAAGTCATTGTTTTCCAAATGAGTTTGGAAACTTAAGTTTGTTAAGAATGAGATGTATGTATATGGATACACATGACAATCCAAAAAGGTATTTAAGTGAGACTTTAGATGGATATTGAGTCATAAGATGTGACATTTGATTTTTTTTTTCTTCTATTAATGGATATATGTTTGAAGAATATTAGTGAAATTAATATTATGTATATTGGTGAATTAGTTTAAATGTCTAGGTGCTGTTTTAAATTTTCTTATTTAAGTGATAGTAATCTAATTTCAATTATTATTATTTCAATGACTCTTCGTTTGGAAAATTCCTTACTTATATAAGTAAAAAGAGGAAAAATAAGGAAAATGATCAAAGTATGTATGGGGTTAAAATTCCAATCTAATTTGGGATATTGTGGAAGTTCGCATTGGACATTAAACCCCTATTTCGGCTCCATTATTTCAAAAATATATTTTTTTTCAAAAATTATTTTCAACCATACATTCTCTTATAAAATAATTTTAAACTAAAATCCAAAATATTTTCCTTTTGTTTTTTTAACCATACATTCTTTATGAAATAACTATTCAAACATATATTTTAACCCAAAAAGGGTCTCAATTAGGGATAATTTTTTTAAGAACATTTAAATTCTCGAATACTAAGTAAAAGACTAACGAGTTTATGATAGATAAACCTAATTTATTTTTTAAAAACGGTTACTCAATATAAGTGTATTGTGTTAGATAAAATTTTATGATGGTGAGATTCATTTCTGTAAGTAGATGTTAGCCATGCTATTATGTTTAAATTTAGAGTTACACCAAATATATCTAGAAATAATATTTTTATTCTCAATTGAGAATTTATTATAAAGATCTACATGAATCGACTTATAGTTCCATATTAAAGGCCATTGAGTATTGTGGTAACTTTATAGTTACACTTATGGCATAATACAGTCATCTAGACATTTGTACTTTAGTTTTAACAGGGTTTAAATCTCGTACGAAATTTCGCCATGTGGACAAAGCTCACAGTATTTATGTAAATGTCTGATAGTATGTTGTAATTTTAATTATAAATATGATTAATTGTAATTAATTTTGATGGCTTATGGATTAATTATGTGTTAATTTTGTTTGTTAGGTAAAATTCTAGGCAAATTGGGCTAATTGGAAAATAGAAGTGAAAAGTGCGAAAAAGAAAGAAAAGCAAAGTTCAGGACCAAATTGCAAATACCAAATAGTTTATTCGGGCCATAAAATGATAATTGAAGATTGCTATGAGTCAATGGATTTTCACAAATCAATTTCCAATCGCACAAATTATGTTTTAGATTTTTAGTTGGAAATCAAGATCCATTTTTGGCATCGTAAACGTTTGAATTGGAAACATGCTACTTAGAGTTATTATAACCTTTTGAGTTATCTTTTCAGAATACTTTAAATCAACTTAATTGAATTTCGAAAGAGAAAGTTATGACAAAAATACTGACAGCTGTACAGAGATATAATCATATGCACGCAAATGCAATTTTCCTCATTTGATTGAAACTCTTTTGGAACCTAACTCGTAAATAATTTTTTGACTTAATTTCACATTATATGATACAAGACATGGGTGGCTATTGAATGATCTCTCTCACTTCTCAAATAACTTCCATATTATAAAATCATTCAGGAACGAGAGGCAAATTCCTCACAAGTTAGAGAGGAAAATCTAGCACATGGATTGAATCAAGAAACATAAAAAATTTGAAGAATCAAAGCTTGGGGGTGGATAATCAAGAAGAATTAGATTATGAAATCTTTTTTTCTCGTATTTATAAATTTTGGGTGATGTTTTTTCATTCTTCTTGTTGTTTTATTATTAGAAACATGTTTAGTTGGATTCTTTATATTCGATAAAAATAAACCATATTATTTATTTATTTTAATTCAAACAGTAGTTTAGTAATTCTTGTTTTCTTGATTAATTTTGCATTCTCATTACATTATTTACTTATTTGGCCATCAATTAAATATTTAGTTACTTATTGTAGTGTTGCTAGATTCGCAATAAATCCAAAATGCTCAAAATTAACATTATGTGTAATGGATGTTAGGATTAACATTTATCACGTATGTAATTATATAGATAATCTAAAATTTAATAAATTCTAATCATTCGAATACGGACTATGAATAGATTCAGATCGTGACTAGAATGGATTTAATTTGTCTTGAAAAAGAAAGTTAAATACATTAGTTTTGTTGATTGTCAAGAACGTATAAATAGAATTAGATTACAAATCAAGAATTGAAATAGATAATTGTAGACGGACTTTAAATCCAATAAAATAATCCATAATTGATATAACAAAACTTTTATAGCTTTCTTAGATTAATTAAGCATAAATTACATCAAAAACTCTTTTATGTTATATAATTCGGATATAACTAGTAAATTTAAATTGAATGTATTTCATGTAGGATGATACTATCAATTCACTCAAATCTATTACTTGTCAGTGATCCCGTACACTTGTGGGATTTTATCGAACAATGATATTTTATTGACTTAGCATGAGAATGAATATATTGAGATCACTTTGAAATGATTATCCTCAATCTTTGAGAACAAGAACATAGATTTAAAAATTGTATACTTTGTCTTAAAAGATTATTCTGTTATCTTGTTCTGTCAAAAAATTATATAATTTAAAGATTCTAGAATATTTCTAGCATTAAAATTGCTACCCTTTTGATACTTCTATATCGAAAGTTAACGATAAAGTATGTCTAAGGACTCTACAAGTGTACAAAGAAATGTTCAAACAATCATAGTTAATATGGTTGGGAATTAAAGTAAGCTATGATGTATACTTACCTTAATATTTGTCAAGCCATGGGTTTAGTCTGTAGGTATTAATATTATCTTTAAAAATAATCTAACGTGTGATATTCATTGCCACTTGTGGTTTAAAATCGAATCCGTCATATACGAGTGGAAGATGTTAAATAAGCTCATTGATTGCCCATGTTGAGGGACTTAACCCTCAATATATTAAAATGGATTGGAAGGAATTTTTTAAATAAAATTCAAACATAACTTCTCTCAATCCCCATTAATTCCTATAACTCCCTACAACAACCATGACTTTTGTCAAGCAATTGTAAGAGAGAGAAAAATAACAAGAAAAATGGTAATGTTTACCTGTAAAAGTAATCCAAAATTGAAAAGGCCTTAATACCTTCTTCATTTTTATTTTATTTTATTATTATTATTATTATTTTTTGGGCCTAGAAACTCAAAAAATTAGACATTTTGATTGTAAATAATAATCTCCTTCTATTGTGATCGGAATAGACAATTGGAATGCTAAAATATAAAGAATTCAAGACAAAATATCTAGGTGATTCAATCACACAAAGATGTTGAAATTCATCATTTCACGTAATCCATACCCTTCCAGTTCGAGGTTCAAAATAGAAATATGATGACCAATATAATGAAATGTAACAATACGTCTTCAAAAAGCCTTTTTTTTCCCGCCATTGGAATCTCAAGTCTATAAAGCCCACTAAATTCAAACGAGCAAATCAATATGTTTAAAGCTCAAATGAGTACAAGATTTTGAAACTGATCCGTACATCCCTAACAAGCCAACTTCCTGACAAAGTTCCTACAGAGACCGCACTCTTAACTAGTATAGAGTATATATGAATTCTAAGTAATACCAAAAAAGTTAAGCCGTGGCAGCAGCTGGAAGTGATCTGTAGCATGCTCTCTTAGCTGCACGAACAATATCTTCCACCTACCCAATTCATCATGACAGTTAAGAAAGGTCGAGGTTAATAGTTTCAGGTCATCAATCACGATTTAACAAGACAATACGAAATTTTAAACATCGGGGATTGAAAGAAAATTTCTAGGCACTGAAAATGTAATTTAAAAATATTAATCCAAATCTCTCGAAAGATCGTGGAATCCAAATAATCTAGATAGTAAAGAAAAAGAGAATATGAGTTGGAACCTGTGGAAGAGCCATTCTCTCGAGATTAGCTGCATAAGGCATGGGGACATCTGCTCCAGCAATTCTCTCAACAGGAGCATCGAGATAGCCAAAGCTATCCTCAACAATTGAGGTGCTGCAAGAAAAGCAACGCAATATGTAATTCTCAAAGATTCATTAAAATGTCATGCCAAAACCTCAGTTAATATGAATATCCAAGAGCTTTTATATCATGAAATACATATAAAATTATAAATCACTTGATACTCAAGTACACAGAAGCCAAACCAGATTTCAGCGCCGACACCATGTTGAGGAAACCCTTCTTCAACAGTTACTAGCCTGTTTGTTTTCCTAACTGAAGCATTAATTGTGGTTCGATCAAGCGGCCTAATGGAGCGCAGATTTATGACCTGTGAGGACAAGTAGAAGCAAGTAAACAAAACCAAAGCACCAGTACAGACCCCAAACTTGGTGCTTTCAAAACTAAACAAAACCAGTTATATAGAGTATAGATAAAGCATCATTCAATCACAGTTGACAAACCTCAGCATCTATCCCATCCTTCGCAAGTATCTCAGCAGCCTGAACAAGAACAAAGTTCCATTAGGAGACGATAAACAACTCAGAATAGCATATTAGGTTACCACTATAGAGTTCAAAGAAACCATAGAATAAGAGAAGGAAATGAAATTGTCAGTCTACATATGCATATGGTGGAGAATTGTGAAAGGTTTAATTCTGCTAAGAGGGAGACCTGCCAGGATAAAACTTTGAAAATCTCCTGAGGTTAACAAATCGTCATTTAAAATATCTAATTCTGTAATGAGTGATAAAACTAGTGATACATGTTGAACATGAATTAAACAAACTTTGTATATATAGAGACATCTCCCAAAGCTTAAGCTCAAATCACAATGCCCAAGAATGGACACCATCAAATACACAAAGCCTTCAAATTTCTCTCCCAAAAATTGAAAGTAAACTCTCAATTGGTCTTGTGTATCCACACTAAACACATTAAAAAGCTAGAAAATGCATGAGGACTGACAGATGTCACAGACCGACCTTGAGAGAAAAGCCCACCATCTTTGAAAATGAGGTAATAGTTACATGTTTTCCTTCTCTCTCAATCTGTACATGCCAAATGAAAAGAATGATTAGCATATACCGGTTCTGCACAAGGAGGCAGCTAATCAACTCCATGCCATTATGTAAGATGCATAAAACATACTTTGGCTTTCCCTATAGGGATGCAAAATCCAGAATCAAAAACTTCGGCTGAAACAGGGAAAGCTTCACCATATCTGTTATACAAATTATATATTGCATGCCATTAGAAATAATCATGAAATTCAGGAGTTTTAACATAACAATTGATCCATTAGTTCCAATCATGACATTAGTCAGTATTGGATCCTTACAACAGTTCATTTTCAAGGAAAACAACAGGATCAGGGTCTCTAATGGCAGCTTTAAGAAGACCACGAGCATCTTCAGACGAATATGGGACCAGCACTTTCAGGCCAGGGCATGAGCCATACCATGCTGCATAACACTACATGGCACAACTGTTAAAGCCTTAAAAGTACGATTTTCAGTAAAATGACAAGTTACATCAAAATACCAAGCCATCAGAGAATAGCAATTAGAACAAAAGGCATTTAATAACATATCACATTGACCATGAGAAGGTCATACAACTAACATCCAAAGGCGATTAACCAAGTAGCAAACCTGGGAGTGCTGCGCTCCGACACCGGCAGCTGCACCATTTGGCCCTCTAAAAACAATAGGCACATTAATATTGCCAGAAGACATGTAGTTTGTCTTCGCAGCAGAGTTAATGATGTGATCGATTGCCTTCAATCCATATGTAAAAACGACATCAAATCAAAAATAAATAACAATGGTGTCAAAAAAAAAATTTACAAACTAATGAAGATCATAGCTGCTATAGTGGTATAAAAGAGTATTTTGTGATCCTCATTCCTGATCCATCCAATTTTAAGAAAGAGGCTATCAAATGAATTTCAATTGACACTATAGTCAGGAAAATGTTTTAGAGAATAGAGAGCCTGGAAACGTGATCACCAACTTGGAGCCTAATTATTGTCGATCCAAATTATAGCCATGAAAAGATCATGGAAAAATTCGATTGTACCTAATTTATCTTATAAATAGGGAGCCTTCATTAGGTTTTATTATTACCATCAAGAAGGAGAGAGAGAGAGAGGCGAGAGAAGACAGATGTCAAATTATAGCCTGTAAACCTTTTTTTTTTTTTTTTTTTCATAGTGAATTAATGTATCAGCAGGAAATGACGTTGTCTCATATTGAAGCGAACTTCTATAAATCTTGCATGTGCTTGAGTGTTTATTTTTATTTCTTCGAATTGATGGCTCTCAATGAAATTGAATTAGGGCTTATAATTCTTAGTATATTTTTATATTTCAAAAGTTTCTACATCTCCTATGGGGAGCTTCAGCTGTTTGCTCAATGCTTGGGAATATACTCATCCAAACAAAGAAAATCTTGAAACAAAAAGATAAACGAAACCTGCATTGCAAAATTAAATGTCATAAACTCAACAACAGGTCTGAGTCCATAAAATGCAGCACCAACTCCAATCCCTGTAAAGCCAGCCTGAAAATCAAACGAGCGAATAATTCTGAGTGTGGATGAAACCAATAAAAAATTGATGAAATTGAGCCTAAAAGGTCACCATGATAGATAAAGTGAAACAAATTTTTTAATTATTTGATCATTTGAAATGCTGAATTATGCAACAAGTAGCCACTATGTTAATCAATTGAACCTCTGTGATTGGTGTGTCAACAACCCTCTGAGGACCAAACTTCTGCATAAGTCCTTTGGAAACCTGAAAAATAGACACTTGTCCTTATCAATAGTGATAATCAATTGGTTTCATGTATGCACTGACTATTAGGCAGCATGCATACAGAGAGTAGAGAAAGAGGGAGTTAAGCAAGCCTAACCTTGTAGGCACCTTGATATTCCCCAACCTGAAGTTATATAGGAGGATGATGAGAAGAAATAAATAACTATATTTGGAAAATTTAACGAGTAAACACTTCTCACCTCTTCACCCATCAGAAAAACATTGTGATCTGCGGACATTTCCTCATCAAGAGCGGAATTTAAAGCTTCTCTCACTGTCATCTGCATCAAGTTGCAGTTTTCCCCATATGTAAACTTTGAATTACTTAATAGCAGGATTGTACAATATATACATTCCGTTGCCATTCTTAGTACAAGTGTGCCATCAGACTAGAAATAATAGACACAATAATGAGTTTGGATCACGGATGGGCTTCTACTGTTCAATTTTGCATCTAATTTTCTAAAACAATTATTTTGAAAAGGTTTGAATCTACAAAAACGCAAATAATTTTGAGACATTTGGCCAGATTAAATTAAAGCCCTGATTAAGTTTTTATCATAACAACATTATTTCGCAATTGGAAGTTAAAAGACACATTTAGAAACAGAAAAAATACGAGATTTCGCCTAAAAATGAAGGTAATTAATAATCGGATAACGATATCAAGTACCTGCTTAGCTGAGGAGGAATAACTTCTCAGCGTTAATCCTGCAGGCTTTAGAAACTGGAAAAACAATAATTAAAAGATAAAAAAGCCTAAAAAAAAAAAGAAAAAAAAAAGAAAAGATAAATAATAGAAAAAATTTGAAACTAAGTTGCAAAATAAATTACCGGAGAAGTAAAGCCCCGAGCACCAAGTTTGTTCCCCGCAATCCTCAACATCTTCTCTTCTCAGTTATTTCACTAGAAAAACAAAATTTATTGTGCAACACAAACAATATGAAGTATGAAGTATGAAGTATGAAGTGAACAAATATACGGTACACATAGCTCATGATTGTGTAATACAAACAAGCTTTAAAGATCATGATGAAGTAATTATTAGCAGGTAATGATTAAAAAAATCCATACACGATTAATTTGGGAGCGAAACTGGTAGAGAGTAGAAATTAGCAATCTGGGTGTTTGTGTTTCGGGGCTGATCTTCGTCTCCACAATGAGCAATATTACAAAACATGTTCATGTACCGATTGGGCAGTGAATCGGTAGATATTTGTACGCGTGTACTCGTGGAAAAGTTGAAAGTGTGCAGTGGGGCCCACTTGAGTTGCAACGTGTTGCGAAGAAGGAAGGACGAATCTAGCGCATTTTCATCGGTCTACAGCATTCTTGGTTTTTGGCTTTTCCTCTTCCACCCTTGATGTGTCTTTAACTGGGAATATGTCGTGAAAATGGAGGGAAATATTTTTGATTTACTTGAAAAATATTTTATTGTATTAATATATAATTGAAAAATAAGTATATATAAAAAAGAGTTTTTAAATAATGATTATCAAACGAGAACTTATTTTATTTTATTTTCTTATACTTTTATGTTGTTGGGCAATATTCAAAATTTAGGATCTGTTTGATAGGCTTGTTTTTCGATTGAAAATGGAAAAAAGTTTCAATTTCCAACAAAAAATGTATGTTTAATGGTCAAAAAATTCCATGGAATTAGTTGTCCAATTACTCCCACATGATCACATTTTCTTAGTTTTTAAGGAATTCAATTTTCTTTGATTTTGGTGGGAATTGGATTTTCCAGTTTCTTCTTTTTTTAATTAATTTTTTTTTATAATAGAAACAAATTCTATTCACAATTGTAACAAATTCTATCCCTTTAGTTTACATTTTTCATGAAAAATAAAGCCAAACAAACACTAAAAGATTCAAAATTTCAATATTTTTCAGGTGAAAAATTATACTAATCAAACACATTTAATTGACAATTCATAGTAAAACAAGTTTTGGACAATTCAATTCCCTGAAATTCGTTTTCTTTTTACCCAAATTACATTCTTGTAATCAAACAGACTCTTAATTCAATTAAAGTTTAACTTTTAATAAAATGGATGTAGTAATAGTTTAGTGAAAATTTGTTGTCTTTAATTAATCCAAATGTATGTATATGTTATTTTGAAGCAATTTATTAACAAAGTGTTTCATAGCAATTTCATCTATAATATTATTGTGAAATATCACATTGGCCATATTCATCCTTAATATCTTGATTCAATGTCAAAGAATTGCACGTTGCTACAATATAGTATTAGAATAAAATTTATCCAACAAACGCCAAGATAAAGGTAGAAGCATGATAAAATTTTATTGTAGTGCACATTGATTATCAAAAGCCACTTTTGATGAATGTCGTCAATTTTCTCATTAAAGAATCAATCATTCTACAAGTACATCATTTTTTATATCTTTTTTCACAGCACACACACATGCAAGTGAGTGGGGTCCACGATTAAAATAATCATGAACCCCACCTTTGTGAGAAAGTGTGAGTTATCAAACGAGAACTTATTTTATTTTATTTTCTTATACTTTTATGTTGTTGGGCAATATTCAAAATTTAGAATCTGTTTGATAGGCTTGTTTTTCGATTGAAAATGGAAAAAAGTTTCAATTTCCAACAAAAAATGTATGTTTAATGGTCAAAAAATTCCATGGAATTAGTTGTCCAATTACTCCCACATGATCACATTTTCTTAGTTTTTAAGGAATTCAATTTTCTTTGATTTTGGTGGGAATTGGATTTTCCAGTTTCTTCTTTTTTTAATTAATTTTTTTTTATAATAGAAACAAATTCTATTCACAATTGTAACAAATTCTATCCCTTTAGTTTACATTTTTCATGAAAAATAAAGCGGTAACAAATAAAATTGGAATTATAGATATTACCTCATGTTTCGAACTCAAAACACACATCATACCTACTCCACGTACTCACTAGGGCTAAGATCACAAACAAATATCAAGTTGAAGAAAATAATCACAGTGAATAATTATGCGATGAAAATATTATATAGGATAATACAGATCTTTTCAAAAAATCATGTTTACATGGAACAAAAATTAACACCAAGTTAATCAACAAACGACCAACACATATGCAACAAATGCATAAATGACCCCATAAAAGAATCTTACCACACTTATCCTACTTTATTTAATGTTGTTCACACCTCAAGGACATATATCTCCTCTCATTGTCCATCATACTCATTAGATTGATCACTCAATTTATGTCTAACTGGTAAATCATGTATTCATCCTTAATATCTTGATTCAATGTCAAAGAATTGCACGTTGCTACAATATAGTATTAGAATAAAATTTATCCAACAAACGCCAAGATAAAGGTAGAAGCGTGATAAAATTTTATTGTAGTGCACATTGATTATCAAAAGCCACTTTTGATGAATGTCGTCAATTTTCTCATTAAAGAATCAATCATTCTACAAGTACATCATTTTTTATATCTTTTTTCACAGCACACACACATGCAAGTGAGTGGGGTCCACGATTAAAATAATCATAAACCCCACCTTTGTGAGAAAGTGTGAAAATTGATGTAAAAAAAGTATTGTACAAACAGAACTTTTGTTAAAGAATCATTCATTTTGCATATTGTAACTTATTTAAATTTGGTCTCATTTATCAAACTGTATAACAATATGCCTCATAAGCTAAACACAATTTCTTGTTAGGGGAAAATATGTCCACAATGATCAAATACCTTTAAAGAAGTCGCCACATTGAAAACAAGTGACGCTTTTACTATAAATGGACAATTTTTATTTAGTGAAGATCAACATGGACCAGGATGAAAGTCTAAGAACTCAAAAGCCAGAAAACATTGATTTAGGACCTCAAGTGACTTATTGCGAAAATGTAGGGATTGCAATAGCAAATTTGCAAATAGTATATTCATTAAGCTCACCTACACCTCATCCATCGACAAGGTAACAAATAAAATTGGAATTATAGATATTACCTCATGTTTCGAACTCAAAACACACATCATACCTACTCCACGTACTCACTAGGGCTAAGGTCACAAACAAATATCAAGTTGAAGAAAATAATCACAGTGAATAATTATGCGATGAAAATATTATATAGGATAATATAGATCTTTTCAAAAAATCATGTTTACATGGAACAAAAATTAACACCAAGTTAATCAACAAACGACCAACACATATGCAACAAATGCATAAATGACCCCATAAAAGAATCTTACCACACTTATCCTACTTTATTTAATGTTGTTCACACCTCAAGGACATATATCTCCTCTCATTGTCTATCATACTCATTAGATTGATCACTCAATTTATGTCTAACTGGTAAATCATAATAGATCCTAAGTTCTTGAGATAATTCTCTATCACCACATTACTTCTTCCTACCTAAGTAGATGTAGGCACGTTAACCTTACCTTAAAAATAACGACGCTTGTGCATTGCACGGGCAAAGGCTAATATAAGAAA